AGTAGAAATGTTACGTTTTTGTAGCAGAGACCTTAAGGAACATGCCAGTGAAATGTGCCACTATTGAAAAGTTAGGGTCAGTATTTATTTTTTGTTTGAAAAGAAATTAATACTTTTTTTGTTTAGCAAGGATGCATTAAATTGATCAAATGTGATCATGAAGATATTTAGAACCTTACAAAAGATATCTGTTTCATATAAATGCTGTTCTTTTGAACTTTCAGTTCATGAAAGAATCTTGAAAAAACTGTAACACGGTTTCCACACTTTTCAACATATAAAATGTATATTAATAATACATGTTTCTTGAGCAGCAAATCAGCATATTAGAATGATTTCTGAAGGATCATGTGACACTGAAGACTGGAGTAATGATGCTTTGATGCTGAAGAAACAGAATGACTCAGTGCTTGGAACTGAATTATACATCTTACAGCGCCAATTTGGTTTCATTAATGGAGGTTTTCAGTTCAGAAACAAGGTTTTCAGAAACAGTTCTACTCCGCCATCATTGAATCTGTCCTCTGCACTTCTATAACTGTCTGGTTCAGCTCAGCTACCAAATCTGACCTCAGAAGACTACAGAGGGTAGTCCGGACTGCTGAGCGAATCATTGGTACAACCCTCCCTTCTCTCCAAGAACTGTACTCATCCAGAGTGAGTAAAAGGGCTGGCAAAATCACTCTGGACACCTCACATCCAGCACACTCCCTCTTTGAACTGTTGCCATCTGGTCGACGCTACAGAGCACTGAGCACCAGAACGACCAGACACAGGAACAGTTTCTTCCCTCAGGCAATCCATCTCATGAACACTTAACAATAACTGTGGAACACACACTATTTATTCACTCATACACTTATTTATCTAACACACATACTCAGTCTACATTTCAATTTGCACATAATATACCTGTACATACAACTGTCTATTGTTATATACCTTTACATATAATTGTCGATTTGTATATTTTTATTCCTTGTTTACTTTTTATTTTTTATTTATTGTTATTTGTTATTATCTGTGTTTTTTGTTCTGTCACTGTCATTCTGTTACACTGTGGAAGCTTCTGTCACGAAAACAAATTCCTCGTATGTGTAAACATACCTGGCAATAAAGCTCATTATGATTCTGATGATGCTTGAGGCCATCAAAGTACCAACAATTACTCTATTGACAGAGAAATGTTGACTGAGGCATGTTGAAACAATGATATAGAGTTTTAACCGTAGTTTGGTATTTAGGGTAGTCACTGTCATTACATATGCACATACATATACACCACAAACAGCACATGTGATACATACATTTGCATATTAATGAATGCTAAATTTTCATGGACTTGTGCATAATATTCTAAGATTAATGCATATTTGAAATGAATAGCACTTGTGCTTTGTTACGTTCACCATATGAATTTTAATCATAGAGGATGACTTTGTATTGACCAGGATGTCAGGACATAATGAAAGCCAGCCTTCCTGTGCATGACCCTGTTTTAATTTATTTGAACAAGCTACTTCACATTGTCATTAAGGATCGTAGCTGTGGTGTGTGGTGTAGTGGCTTGTAACAAACTAAACATGAAGACCTTAAGGTTCCTAAGAGCACAGTGGCCTCCATAATCCTTAAATGGAAGACGTTTGGGACGACCAGGACTCTTCCTAGAGCTGGCCTCCTGGCCAAACTGAGCAATTGATGGAGAAGGTCTTTGGTTATAGTGGTGACCAAGAACCTGATGGTCACACTAGTTGATCTCCATGATTATATGTGGAGATAGGAGAAACCTAGAGAAGGACAAACATCGCTGCAACACTCCACCAATCCAGTCTTTATGTCGGAGTGGCCAGACTCAATCCTCTCTTCAGTTAAGACGCATGAAAACACACTTGGAATTTCCAAAAAAGCACCTAAAGGACCCTCAGACTCTGAGAAACAAGATTCTCTGGTCCGATGAACCTCAATTCCAAGCTTCATATTTGAAGGAAACCAGCTCCGCTCATCACCTGCAGAGTACCATCCCAAAAGTAAAGTGTGCTGGTAGCAGCCTCATGCTGTGGGGCTATTTTTCAGCAGCAGGGACTGAGGGACTCGTTAGAGTAGAAGAAACGCTCAGTGCAGCAAAATACAGAGATAGCCTTAATGAAAACCCAGTCTAGAGCATTCAGAACCTCAGACTGGGTGGAAGGTTCACCTTCCAACAGGACAATGACCCTAAGCACAGAGCTAAAATAACGAAGGAGTGGCTTCATAACAACTCCTGTTCTTGAATGGCCCAGCCAGAGCCCTGACTTAAACCCAATTGAGCATCTCTGGAGAGACCTAAAAATGGCTGTCCACCAACGTTTACCATCCAACCTGACAGAACTGGAGAGGATCTGCAAGGAGGAATGGCAGAGGATCCCCAAATCCAGGTGTGAAAAACTTGTTGCATCTTTCCCAAAAAGACTCATGGCTGTATTAGATCAAAAGGGTGCTTCTACTAAATACTGAGCAAAGGGTCTGAATACTTAGTACCATGTGATATTTCAGTTTTTCTTTTTTAATAAATCTGCAAAAATGTCAACGATTCTGTGTTTTTCTGTCAATATGGGGTGCTGTGTGTACATTAATGAGGAAAAAAAATTAACTTAAATGATTTTAGCAAATGGCTGCAATATAACAAAGAGTGAAAAATTTAAGGGGGTCTGAATACTTTCCGTACCCACTGTACCTGGCAAAAAAGCTCATTCTGATTCTGATTCTGATTCTGATGATGCTGAAAAATTCAGCTTTGTATCACAGGAATATAAAGTATTAAAATAGAAAACACAATATTACAATATTAGTGTTTTACAGTATTTTTGATCAGATAAATGCAGCCTTGGTGAGCATAAGAGACTTCTTTCAAAACATCATATAATCTTACCTTATCTTATCGACCCCAAATTTTGAACAGTATTCACTAGTGTAAAAAGTGTGACAACTACACCAGTCTCTCATACTGTATTATAAAGTAATCGTTCAACATTTATCTGGCTGAGACACATACCTGTATCAGACAGAACAGCCCCTATCATGAGATCTCAATAATTCCCTTATGAAGGATAAAGGTTGGGAGAAATAATAAGAGAAAAAAAGTTAGACCGATGGGGCCTGATTAGATCAATGCTAAAGAAACCGCAGATACCACTGGACCCAGTGATTCTGTCACCCCATCCCTTCTGTCTCTCTATTTTTTCTCTCCCCCTCTCTGGCCTGTTGCTTAGTTACTGCCTAGTGTGCTGGAATTGTGGAATTGTGTTTGAGAGAGAGAGGTAGAGGGGTTAGCCATAGTACACAGGCTTGATCTGCGCCATTGTGTGCGCACAGGTGTTTGCGTTTCTGTTCTCCTGACAATACTTCCTCAATAATCTCCATTACTCACCTGTGACTCCACTTTCATTCATGCACTTTGTGTTTAGAAAGAAATGCCTAATAGATCGCCGGAGCTCCAGACCCGATTCGGGGGTCAGCACGGGCTAATAACACATAATGCGTGTTTGAATTGAGCTCTGCTGGAGAAACTGATCTTTGACCACATGAAGCGAGTGTGTGCGATGTGTTCTCCCAGAAGAGGGCTGATAGGAGACAAAAAAGAAGCAGGAACAATTAATGCAGAAGATAGAGGACTGGTGTTAGTGTGTGTGTGTGTGAGCTTGTGCGGAGCAAGTCTGAACTCTGCAACAAGAGGTCTCCTCACAGAGTGAGTCTGTCTTAATTAAAGCATCATTATCTGCTGATCTCACTGATACACGGTGCATTCTTAAACTAGACTAAGTGACCAGCGCTCTCTTCCACCCTCAATACCACTGAGGTGCCCTTGAGCAAGACACCAAACCCCAATCTGCTCCAGTTGGCACTGAAGCAAATGGCTGCCCACTGCTCCAGGTGTGTGTTCATCGTTTGTGTGTGAGTTGTGTTTACTACTCACTGCTGTATGTGTGCACTTGGATGGGTTAAATGCAGAGCACAAATTCTGAGTATGGGTTACTATACTTGGCAACATGTCATGACAATGGCAGAACACCCTTAACTTCTTCATTACGGGTGTTCATACCTAGGTTCACAAGCTGGGACTCGAACTCGGGACACTTGAAGCGCAACAGCACTACATGTCAGCACACTTTCCACAAGGCTATTGGCACCAGTGTAATTTATAATTTAAAGACTAACAACACTGTTCTGTGTTCTCGTTTTTAACATAATTCACAGTTTACAAATGGTTTTGTATAATTATTAATTACGTGCTGTTATTGTCATTAAGACTATGTGAAGAATTTCAACTTTGTTGAGCACACCCTAAACGTAGTCCAATCTCAGCAAAATTTGGTGTGTTTCCATTTCTCATTAGTTGACTGGGAGGGTGAGAGCAGAAGATTTAAAAAGTCCAAAAATAAGGGCCACCCTAATATATATATATTAGTGCTGTCAAACGATTAATCGCGATTAATCACATCCAAAATAAAAGTTTTTGTTTACATAATATACATGTGTGTACTGTGTATATTTATTATGTATAAAGACACACACATACAGTAAATATTTTGAAAATATTATATGTATATACATTTATATTCCTATATTTGATATTATTCATAAATATATTTCATATATAAACATAACATATTTTTCATAAATATATACATGTATGTGTTTGTATTTATATATACATAATAAATATACACAGTATACACACATATTAACAAACAAAAACGTTTATTTTGGATGCGATTAATCATGATTAATCGTTTTACAGCACTAATATATATATATATATAGATATATATAAATGGATATATATGTGTATATAATTTTTTGTGCAAATATTATGATTTATTAATTCATAAATATAATTGTCACCATATGACATATTACAACCTGAACTAACTTTGGCAAAAGTCAAATAATATGTTGTTTAAAAAAAAAATTTTGACACACAAACATGAGGATCTGATTTTGATACCAAGACAGTTGCATCACCTTGACATTTTTTACTTGCGTGTCCCCCTAAAATAATCCATTTGAATAAATACATTTTAATTCAGAAATGACAAACTATTAATTGAATCTATTATTGAATAAGACTGAAAAACATTTGACTCGTTGTTGACTCCTCCTGTTATTGTGAATGAGAACTAAAGAGTATGTGTCTGTTTTACAAAAATGTTCATTGATAATTCTTGTTTCAGCGTAACTCCGTGGCCCCTGCATTAAAACCTTGGGGCTTAAACACTTCACTAGATGTGGTTCCTCAGTCCCAGCTGCTTTTCCTACAGCCAGTCATGCCAGCTGGTGACTGTACCGGCCAAAGCTCTGACAAGCAGAAACATTCCAGAAAGCATGTTCCCATGCAAAACACCTTTCCAAAAATTGCACAAGGGTCTATAGTCGACGAGGGTCCCAGTGCTATCAATAAGAGGTCAAACCACAGTCATGCTGGAAGACATCAACGACGCCGTTATGATGAAAAACCTTTCCACACTTCCTCTTTGAAACAGGATGTGTCCGAGACATTTAAAGATTACGATGTAGACCCCAACATTGCTTCTTTGGGAGAAATCGGTCACGCTGTTGAAGACGTAGCTGTGGAAGACTCCTCATCCAGGCTTTCTGACCTTCAGGAGCCCCACACCACTTCACCATTCTCACTGTGCACTGACTCCTTCCTCGCTTCATTCCCTCAAAAGAGTCCCGAAGCTTCAGTCACCCAGAGCAGTGATGTGGAGAATATCCCAGAGGCCCTCTCTCCAAGCTCCAGCAAACGCAAACGCTTCTGCAACACCTATAACATTTTGAATCGGTCAGGCCTGCTGGGTATCACACTGCGCACAAAGGAACTTATTCGACAAAATGAACGTTCCCAGGCCCAGCTTCAGAGTCTGCAGGCTCAGACTGACCTCTTCTTGGAGGCCATATGTAGTGGAGATCCCAAAGTCTGGACGAGATTGCAGCTTATCCTCCAGAACTCTGGAAACAGCGACTCACTGGTGGACTCTGTAAGGGGTGCAGAGCAGGATATCACAGATGTGGGTTGTATGGTGTAGTAGCAGGTTCGGATTTTATTATTTCAGCTGTTGTATTCTTGCTCCAACCGGCACTTTTCTAATCAGTCGCTTAGCAAATTTTCAACATCTTGTTATAATATCAGTAGGAAACATCAAAGATTTGAGTCTTCAATAGAGTCCAGAGATCTAGTTATCACTCCAAGCGTTAGCTATCCAACAGTAGTCATCTTTATCCTTGTGTCAAAAGTATATAACGACAGTGTTTAGGTTACAGTTGCACCTTTTTCTAAATAAAGTGATAGTGATTCAGAATTTATTAGCAAACTCAATTTGAAAAGAACGCTATTAACCGTTCTAGTATTTCAATCTAATTGGTTACTATTTGGAAAGGAGGCCTTGGTAAACCAGAACCGAAATTCTGCTCAGAATCAAACAAAATGGAAAACAGTTATTTTCTAATCACTGTAACTAAAAAAGGCCTTTAACAAATGAAGATATGAGTACTTAAGTATAAGTGCACAATCATTTTTTTTATTCAGATGAAAATGTGAAATTCAGTATCATCCTCGGGGAGCAATGAAACACTAATCAGGGGAGGAACAGGAAACTAACCAAATAAGGGCATGGGAAGGCACATGGGGAGCAGGACACACACAAAACATGGAACAGAGTCTGACAGTATTAGTGCTGTCAAAAGATTAATCGTGATCTTAATAATATAATAATTTATAAAAAAATATATTTTTAATTTTTCTTACAGCACACACACACAGTGTCATCACCACCTAAAGCAGGGGTCTCCAAACTTGGTCCTGGAGGGCCGGTGTCCTGTAGAGTTTAGTTCCAACCCCAATTAAACACACCTGAACAAGCTAATTAAGGTCTTACTAGGCATACTAGAAACTTCCAGGCAGGTGTGTTGAGGCAAGTTGGAGCTAAACTCTGCAGGACACCGGCCCTCCAGGACCGAGTTTGGTGACCCCTGACATAAAGCCTGCAATCTCAGGTTAGGGTTACCACACACACACTAGTTTCCCTTAGGTCCCCTGATTAGTTCATTCTGTTCACCTGTGTTGATTAATCATCTCGTTTGCTCCTTTGTTTCCCTGTCTTTATAAGCCTTCAGTTTCCATCTGTTCTTTGTCCTGGATTAATGTTTTGAAATGGAAGATGTGAGTTGATGTGGTTTAGTTCCCCAGGTTATTCTCCTGTCCTTTCTACAACCACGTACCGTGACAATAAAATAATATAATAATATGTATATAAAGCATTTACCCAAAAGACATTTTAAGATTCTTGTAGTATATTTTATTAATATAAAAATAATAAATATATTAAGTATATATAGTAGTCCATATATGAGCATTTGAAATTTTAAATGAAATATATTTGACAAATTTAAATATACAACATGTTTAATAGATGTCTCTAAAATATTTTTGCTAAGACAGCTGATAATGGATGGAGAATCTAATTGTACTTGCTCTGAGAGTGTGTTTTATTATTTTAAATGAAGCCAGCGATGCCACAGAAACTCAAAGTCAGAAACCGATGTGAACGCGCACAGCACCATGCTGCGAGACCTCTCTTGGTCCTCTGGTTAGTGCTAGACTGCTAATGTACTCGCTGGGTGAGCTCAGCAAAGTGCCATTTAGATAGAGAGGAAGTTTGGACCCCCCGCAGACAACAAACAGTTGTAACGATGCAGCAAAGGAAGGTTAAACCTTTGTTTTCTTCAGAATCAACTGCAATAATTATACTAAAAAACCAATCGAGAACAGTGCATCCTGTTTAACTGCACATATTTGTGAGCATGTTTGTGCATGTGCGATTCTTTGTGTCTTGTTGCATTGCTAAACTTCATCGCTTTCTGTGTGCAACTGATGAGAAGTAGAAACGGGAGTGAAGCCTATTTGGTTGCTAGGGGACATCTTTGCTTAAATTTTGTTGCTAGGCAGCCAATTCCCTCAGTTAAGTGGAAACATCTCATTTTTCTGACCGTTCACCCTGCAACCCTCTCTGTCTCTATCCATGCGTCTCATTCCTTTCCTGTCTGTTTTTCCATCCAAAATAACCAACCGTCTGTCACTATGCATAAAGGTTGCCTGTTGCTAAGGAGTGTGAAGATCCATCACTATCTAAATATGTGAAATCCAGTATTTCAGTGATATGCTGGGCTCATAGCAGTGTTACATTAGTCTGTGTGTCTCGGGATGATGAATAATTGTGCCTTGTGGACTGCAAGAGAAAGCACAAAAGACGTTAGTAATGTGTGAAGTCCAGTGAAACCGTGTGGGAGATATGCAGCATGTAGATTTGCGCTCTTAAGCTTCTTTCATATTAATCCATGCAATAAATGGTGAAAAGCACAAGACGAGCACACAAAAAACATGGCACTGCAGTCTTATACATAGCCACAACTGGACTAATTGCATTCTAAACAATAATCAAATTTGACCACATCATAATGCTGAAGGGTTTGGGGATTAAAGTCTTGACCTTTGCGCAAATGAATTAAACACTTTTGTCAAACCAGCAAATCATTATTTTTTACAGCAGGCTGCCTGACAGGTAGAAAACAGACATTTGCTTGAAAGAAGAATAATCCTATAATCCTGTTATTATATTTCAGTGCCTCAATTAATTAAAATGGGCTTTTTCTCTCTTTTTGGCAAAGAAAGTGAAGAATCAATAGTGTGTGCGGAACGGTTCGACTTTCACAGAAAAGTTTGCTCTGGTTTTATTGACACTTTCTTTGTCTCTTAATTTATCCCCGTCTCTTCTCTCCCACGGTTTTCTCTGTCAGTGTGACATTTGCCAGCCACCGCACACACACACACACACACACACACACGCCCGTGTGCTCTCAACAAACTCGCCTGGCAGCATCTCATGCGCTGTCCTCACTTTTTCAAATTATTGTCACAGTTTCACTGGAGAATACTGTACTCTGTGTAAATCAATGTTTGTTTAATAATTTTTGTGATATTTGGAGCTGCACTGGCCTTGTCTCTTAGGAAACCAGATGTCAGTTTAATCTTCTCAGACCCTAATTATGTTCAAGTAGCCACATATCTATTTTTTATATTTTATCCTATACCATCCTTTATTTCTACTCTAAATGCAACCACAAAAATTGCTTGTCTATACAGTAAAAATCAATCAGTGTTGTCCAATGTTGTGTTGGACCTCACTTTTATTCACTGTATGGTCAAAATAATACAGCATTTCTTCAAAATATCTTATTTTTGTTTTATTTTATTTATTTAGTCATTTATTAGACGCTTTTATCCAAAGCGACTTACAAATGAGGACAACAGAAGCAATCAATTGTAGTATTAAAACAACTAAAAACAGATCCAAAACTAAAAGCTAAAACTTTATAAATACTACTTATACACATTTGAAAAATAAAGAGATTAAATAAAAATGACAAATGCATACAACAAAATTTCAAAACTTAACATTTAAATGAAAAACAAAAAATAAAGCTAAAAACAATTCAAAATATTAAAGAACAAAAGGTATAAGAGTATAATAATGATTCTAACATAACACTAAGCCAAACTACATATGTGTATGTACAACCACACACACATACATATATACTGTATATGTACATACACATTTATAAATTCAATATATATATTATTTCATTTCCATTTAGTTTGTTGAAGTATTAAAATAACTAAAATTAAATAAAACTAAAAACTTAATAAAAGACCTATACAGACATAACTTAACTAAAATTTAAATAAATAACAAATACAAATAATACAAATCAAATGACAGTAGTTTATCAGTAATCCTACAAAATAACACTGCCAAACTTACATGCTAAAAAACAACAACTTACTTACACATAGTAAGAAATGGTTATAAAAACTGAAACAGAAGCGAAACAAGTAATAGGAAAGAGGAGAAATAAAAAGCAATACTTTTTTTTCTGCAGAAAATGAAAGTCATACAGATTTTGAATGACATAAGGGTGAGTAAATAATTTAGTTTTGGGTGAAATATCCCTTTAAGATGTACACTGCAAAGCTGATACATTTCTGGTTTGATTTGACAGTTGAAAATAGCTTTTGATGGTTTAAAGTTAATATGAAATAAATATTAAATATTAAGTAAATATATTCTGCAATATTTCATTATATTTTGATTAAACCAGTTAATATAGATGTGATGTGAAGCTATTTTTAGGTGACAGCAAAATATTTTGCAGTGACAGCATACCTCTTTTGCATAAATTGAGACCTACCATCTATCACAATGAAAATAATTTTAAAATAAGTGTATGTCTTGTATAAGACATTTAACTCAATAATAATAATAATAATAATTCATTACATTTATATAGCGCTTTTCTAGGCACTCAAAGTGCTTTACATTGTCAGGGGGTATCTCCTCATCCACCACCAGTGTGCAGCATCCAATAGTATGATATTGACTCATGCTATTGTTACTGCTATATTATTAACATTATTTTGGTAGCTTTATGATTACTTTAACCATACTGTATCACATTTACTACATGAATTTCTAAGGCATCCAAATTATCAACACAAACAAAACTGCCGAAAAATCTGTTGTATACAATCTCCTATGCCTTCTGTCATCTGATCGAGTTTTTTTTATCAAGTAAAAGGCCTTGTTGTGGTACACGTGTGTTTTTGCTGTGAAATTTTTTACTGATTTTAAAATAATGTTAAAATATGAGTATCAAAATCTCTCAATTATCATTGTGTTGCATTGCATTGCCAACCCCCCCCCAACACACTCAATAAAAACTACAGAGCTTTATTAATAAAAGTAAGCATTTAAATATAATCTTAAGACATTATTGGGAGATATAGAGTGAAATCTGATATTTTCATACATTTTATGTAAGTAGTCTGCTATACTGTTATAAGTATCAGAATTTTATCTATAAAAATATCATCAAATTGCATAAGTTTGCTTAGTCTGGGCCTCTGAATAAAGTTTTTATTCCTTCTGAAGTATGATAAACTCATGCTATATGAGCTATAAAGGCTGGATGTATATACTCACCAAAACAACTATGCAAAGTTTTTTTTTTAACAGACTTTAAAATGTCTTGTCTAAAGGTTTAATAAACTGTTCATTTACAAAAATCTTACTATTATTTCAAATGTATGCCATGCTTCAGTTCCAAAGATTTTGGCACTTGCACTTTTTCACTCCAGAAATGCTGCAAAAGGCGATGTCCATTGGAAAAAAAGCTGGATCTGAATAGGTCAAGATGAGTTTGAAAGTCTTCCAAAATCACTTCACTCTAAAAATCACAGAGTCGCGTCCAGCTCAAGGCGTGGGCTTCTGGTGATTTGGGTTGACATTTTTGACCACTGGATCAAATCCCACTGATGAGAACATCCTCTCGAGCTCTGCTGACAGAGAACGGTCTCCCTGGCGACATGCAGGCTGATGGCGCGCTCTCTCTCTCCCGGCCCCCACCTCCTTCACATGGACCAGGCGCGTAAACGAAACCTGCGCGCAGGTCTCCGCTGAGCTGCATTTGCTTTGCAAGTGTCTTGAGCGCTGATCGTGCTTGTAAACACTTCTTATTGACTGAGAGCGCAACAGAATCAAGCACTTTTTTTTATCCAGGTAGCGGTGTAGACTGATAGTATGAACCATCACAACTTATTTTAGGAGATACTTTTATTAGTTTCGCTCCTCATGAAACTTGACTCAACAGGCAGTTGCAGAAAGTGAGTTGATGCCACAAGAGGCTCGACTGTCGTCAGCTCCAGTGCTCTGCGTCTCCGCTCAGGATGAACGGAATGTTTTTTAACCACACGGTGTTTACGCACGGCGTTCTGCTCAACCGCAGTCAAGAACTGGTGGGGACACTAGTTGATTGCTGCACGGGGAACGGGAGCGAGGTGACCGCAAACGACGGCGGCGGGTCTTTAGTTCTCGCTCAGGACGAGCGCAAGCTGTTCGTTACGCGCGTGGTGCAGATCGCGGTGCTGTGCGTTCTTTCGCTCACGGTGATGTTCGGGATCTTCTTTCTCGGTTGCAACCTCATGATCAAGTCCGAAAGTATGATCAACTTCCTGGTCAAGGACCGGAGACCATCCAAAGACGTGGAGGCGGTGATGATCGGACTGAGTTAGCCGCGGGTGTCACCGGACTGCGGGACCGAGTGACACACAGTTGTCCTCAGACTGGGAGCCACGGAGATATGCAACTTACATTTTCACTCCCTTCCTGTTCTGAAAAGAAACGGCGGTGTGGATGGACTGAAGCAAAGATGACAGATAGGCCTATACAGCTGCACGTTTACGAAATGAGAACGTATTTATTCATGTTTACGTAGCTTTTTGTATTTGAGGTCATTTTTGCTTGTGATTTTTTACAGTGAAGTGTTTACACGTTTTTACCTCAGAAAAAAATCAAAGTATCTATTTATTGCATTATGTTTGTTAAAATTATGTATACGACCATGGTTTTATTGTAGTAAAGTGTAGTAACCATGTTTTTTTGGCGTATTGATTACCATTTATATAACCACAGGTTTACTACAAATACCATGGTAAAACTATGGTTAGTGTAGCAAAACCATGGTTCATTTTGTGCTTACGCATGGTTTAACTATAGTAACCATGTTTTTTTGGTTTTATTTGTAGTAAAACCATGGTTAATTTTCGTATGGGATAAGGGGGAGGGGTTGCGAAACGCAAATTGTAGCCTACTTTGGTGCAACTATTCTAAAAGTTGGTTATCTAAAATACATTAAAAAAAATTTAATAACAAAGTGATAAAAAAGATAACACGCTTTTTCGACTGACCCGCACAAAATTGGTCGTATGGAAAGCGCGTGGGCAACGTGTTGTCATGGTGACTTCCTTTTGCAAGCGAAATGTAGCGACGTTAAAATAAACGTTCTAACTTTTATTATTACTGAAAACCCCGTTGAAACCTATATATGCTTGCATGAATTTTTTTTTTAGATTTACTAAGACCCTACCAGTCTTTTGTTTACTGGTTTCCTCAAACCCACCATCCTGGTTTGTACTAGACAATCACTTGTAAAAGCATGTTGTTTTGTGAACTGTGACTTTTGCACCTTGAATAGCAGGTGTTTTGAATTTGAAGATGTCAAAATGTATTTTTCTTCAAGTTTAACTTGTGGCCGAGAGCACGTGAGGGGGGAGATGTTCATCTGGTGGGTCACTTGCACGTTTTCAATGACTCCTTCCCCGATCACACCGGCTGACGTCTCTCCCTCTGCATGCGCGGTGCTCGGTGTGTCAGGCACTTTCTACGTAAAGACCTCAATGCTGCATGGAGTATTCTGTAAACTGTATTGACTTGAAAACTTGAAATTCTGCAGCATGCTTTGAATAAAGTTGTTAAAACATTGCATTGCATTTGTTTATTTATCTTTAATGGTCAGACGTTCAGAACAGAAATAGTTGGCCAATTCTCGCAAATTTTAAAACAATCCATAAAAAGGCTGCATACATAGGCCTCTATAATAGGCTATATTATGGTATGATATACTATGGTTAAATGCATATCCTGGATATTTGCATCTACATGCATCATCTTCAGTAAGTTTTGTTTTTCAATGATGCACTGTTATCTGTGGGAATCTTTTTTGCTCTTCATTTTTAATTATGAACACATGGGCATTACGAAAACTATGATTTAAAAAATGTAGCATGAAAAATAAGTTTAAATTTAAGAAGTCAGAAAAAAATGAATATTTTTAGAATTTCATAAAATGTGCTTTTTCAGGAAAGAAGCATAGCATATAGGCTATGTAACTGATGAATCTGTTTGCATTACAAAATACATACAAAATGTAGGTATTTTATACATTAAATTACAACAAAAGACCTTCACTTGAGTGAGTTGTGGAGGATGCAACTTCAACGTTCAGAGAAGGGCTATGTTTAGACAGAGTAAAAAGTAATAATTATGTGGTGCCTAATTTTTCCTTTTGACTCTCTCTAAAGCAAATAATAAGGCTTACTCACTCGGCTTTGATGAGAAAAAATATTCTTTGATCATAACTTATTTAAAATAATAATAATTATGCTGCATGCAACAGCATCTCATCTAAGCCAGATTTGCAGTTCCTTAATGCCTTTCACAAGAGATGTAAGCAAGTCAAACTAAAGCCACTATATAAATAAAATCAAATTTTAGTGTAGTGATCATTTTACACATTTGCATTTTAAAGATTAGTCTTAATTGTTCTCTGATTCATTTGGCTTAATATACACACACAGATACAGGTATCATGAGGGCCACATAACGACTGATACACAACATTACACAAAGCAATATCTACAAAAAAATGACAGTGAATTTAACAGTAAAAGACTGTAAAAATGTGCACCTTCTATATATGTTATTATTTAAAAGCTGCTTGTGATGGGCTTTGGTTCATCATGTGACTTTCTCATCACCACCTGCATTTGGTGGTTATCAGTGTATTACAAAGGTACAAAACAGATTTCAGTACTTCAATAGGTTGGTATATTAACATTATATCAGTTAATGAAATTATGGTATTTAACTGTAAATTTAAGTTAAAACCTAAAATGTTGCTACCGTATTTTTTACGGTAAAATTCCGGCAACCACTGCTGCCGGTTTATTACCGTAAATTTGACGGAATTTTTTTTACAGTGTACAACTGTTTAACAAGGAAAGGTGAAGGATGGAAAACAGGAAGGGGAAATGTGAGAAAGGCATATAGCATTATATTTCTGTAGAGGAGGTCTGAGTATGGTCTCAGATTTCTGTGATGTTCAGCTCTGAGATGTGATTTTTACTGCCCTCTTATCCTTTCCTCCGTTTACACTTCTTTTAATGGGCTGTAAAAATGGAGATAAGTAGAGAGATGGAAAGAGAGAGATGAAAAGACGGAGATTCACAGAGCTAACCTGTTTCATAAAATAATAAATTGTACAAGCAGTGAATCAGCTTTGCAGTGTCAGCGCTGGATGCTTCTATAAAATAATTGGCCAAATAAAAAATTCAGGAGGATGCACACATGAATTAGTGCACAAATTGAAAACATCTGTATCATTCTTTCTTTATTTTTTGACTATTTACTCTCTTACGTATATTTTTGTCATTTTGCATTGCGGCTTCATTTTTAAACACAGTATACAGCTCTTTTACTATAAATATATATATATATATATATTTTTTTTTTATTATTTTTTTTTTAAATGTCTCCATTTACTGCTTTATTGGACAAGTTATAAGCTAAAATTATGCAAGGACTTGATTTTCAGTAAAATCTTCATCTCATGCAGGAGTAAAATGCAAAAAATTGCAGGTTGAATGTTTGAAATGCTTTTCTACAACATTAATATGACCACTAGATGGTACCAAACACCTGGTTCAGCTTTAATATAATAATATAATATACGCTTAATAAAGGGTTGAATAAATAAAACAAACAAATGTAATACATGGGGGAAAATAAACTATATGGCCTAAATAATAGTAAATGCCCAACATTTAATAGGCTGTTTTGCTAAAAATGATGATTTGTTCTGATGATTCTCTGTAAGGCAGTGACTTGTGTGAAAACAGTGGAAGCCGTTGAATAAAATAACTTATTGAATACCATACTGCGCCTTTATCTGCATGTGCACATAAAATGTAGAAGCCCCAAGCTGTTCATTTGTTGAGTCTTAACTTGCCTGTGGTTACACATTTCCTTGCGTCTTGACGAAACAGATTGCGCTTGTGAAATGCTAAAACACATTAGGTCATCTGTCCTAACATGTCTCGGAATGGCAGTTTCCACTCCCAGTTTGTACATCAGATAATCAGACTGAAAACAGAGCTGCTAAGGCAGGAGGCCTGCAGTAGTTTGGATCTATTGAAATGGGACTGAATTTGCTAGATGTATGGGTGCCAGTTTTACTTCTAGTTTCCATAGCTGCGGGTAAGTTTGCCTTTTGTTATTGTTTTTTAGTTAATGACTCAAAAATGAGAATAATGTGTGTGTGCTGCGTGTAAGCTAATCCAGGATCTCATATAGCCTAACACTACACATGCTTTATCTTTAACTATAAACGCTAATTTAAGACACAAATAACTGTTTACGAGGATACTCGCAAAGACGAGAATTGTTGACACATAACTGTGTATTTGAACGTTTAAGCACAAGGAGCGAAAAGTTTAGTCAGTCGCAATACGAGCAGGTGCGCGCCGCGCGAATCAGGCTGAAACCGTCTTAATGCACGCATTTAGCAGAATGAATTCTGCCCCACTGCTTAATGTTAATTAACAGTTTAAAACATTTGTTTTAAAACCTGCTTAAAACACGTTTAAATGATAAGCTTAGCCTACATCTTGACGAGCAAAACGATTAATACATTTCTACCGGATTATCTCCCAATCCTTAAATGAATATATAGAGACAGAGTTTGTTCAAACACAAAAACAATATACATCCAGTTAATAATCAAACTAACTTAAAATTTGTGTAGATGATGACGCTGTTTTTTTCCATGTGCCCGGTTCACTTGCTGTTCCAACAACAGTTGATTGAAGTTACCTCCACTGCATCATCAGCTTTAGTAACCTGATAGGGGAGTTTACTAACTTATGTTTTTTTTCTGTTGTTTGTATTTGAAGTTTTTCATTTTTTGAGCCCCTCTCTCTCAGAATTGCTGACATTTTTACTTATAGAATATTGTTCTTTGCACGAACATTTCCAGATTACTCCAGAACGAAGTGAAGAGTGGAGGTGAATGTAGACATACTGGGCAGCGATCACCTGATAGATACGTGCACATATCATTCAAATGTCAAATATAGAATAAATGCATTAGATTGGTAAACCAAATTCAGACTTTAAGCTTCAATCTCAAATGTAATGTATGGAATTTACGGAAAAGCTCAACTAAATAACAGCGCTAATAAGTGGG